TACTAGGCAAAGGAGAGGGGATGGGGTGATTTGCAAAAGTATCATTCATCTTCTTCCTCATACCACCTTATTGTCTTCAGAGACTTTCTGATTCTAGAGCTGTGTCTTTGAAATCATAAAGCATCGTGAATGTGTATTTTTGGGGGAATAGAGGTCCACAGGTTTTATCAGTTTGTCAAAGGGGTCTTCTGTCATGCAAAAAGGGTATTAATCTTAACCAATCTAGGTCAGGCCTGTCATTTCTCCAATGAGGAAGATGAGTCCCAGAGAAAGTAATGCTTCAGTTAATGGTTGGTCCATACTATAATAAAGTGACTTGGGAGTTCAGAGACATTTTATCTGGGTAGCTTAGAGTAATATTGGAATTCTTGGTGACTGTGCTTTCCATATTTAGTATCTGTGTCAGGTAGGAAGATTCTTTCTGGGTGGCTCAATTTGCCATCACTTCTTCTTAAGACATGCATTCAGTTACTTGTAATATTTGCTCTCATGTCAGCTGGATAATGTTTCATGGCACCTGTGGCTCCTATTCTTTCCTTAGCTATGCTTACTCCTCGGAAGGAAGGTTGGGCGATCCTACTTCCGTAGTGATACTGCCTCGGAAACCCAAGGAGGGGTCGCTATGAGTCGGGCCGACTCGACGGCACATAACAACAACAACAACATGCCTACTGAATTTAAGCACATCCTTGTGTGGTATGTGAAAACTGCTTGTCTCTGTCAAAGACGTCATCTAATTATTTTCTTTTCATCTGAAGTTCCTAAGTTTGTGGCCCTCTCAACCCCAGAAGAGCCCTTCATTTTAAAGAAGTTGGCACAGACCATGCTTAGCTGCTCCTTGTAGGAGCAGTATTTAGGAATTTTTCCTTCTAGTGTCTCTGACCTGTGTTGGTTTTGCTTTTTGAATACAATTGACGGAAGAACATCTTGTTATCATTTCTAATTGATTAAGACCTATTGCCAGGGTACTTACTCTCTTTTGGCATGGCCCTAAGGTTGTCTTTAGAAATAGGTAATGAAGAACTTAACGAGATTCTTACTCGTGCCTTTTTTTTTTTACTGTGTGAATGTTGTTGTTATGTGCCATCAAGTTGGACCCGACTCATAGTGACCCCTACTTGGGTTTCCAAGGCAGTATCACTGTGGAAGTAGATTGCTCCATCATCCTTCCAAGGAGTGGCTAGTGGGTTTGAACCTCCAGCCTTCTGGTTAGCAGTCAAGTGCCTTAGCCACTATGCTACCAGAGCTCCTGTAATTAGTCATAGCCCTTATATATTCTCTCTACCGTTTCAATCACTGTTTCCCCAGTCCTTTTCTGGGTATAGCAGGATCCCACATTGTTCTATTACTATATATATGTTGTATGAACAGAATTTCAGTGCTTTTTCAGATCCCTCTACTAGTTTGATTTATAAGATACACAGTGGAGAGGTTTTATTCAGAGCTGCCTTTTTAGCATCTTTGCTAGGAATATTGAGGAAGCTGCAGGTCAGTTGGAAGGCCCACAGGGGGCAGCACTAGGAATGATTCTTCCCCTTTAGTCCTTTCTATATGTGCTGGGGGAGGGGGTCCTGGAAGATGTTGATGTTTCTTATCCGGATTCAGAATCCTCTGATTGAGAGCAAAGACTCATTTTCTTAGTTGTTTATACAGTGTTGTTTTTGCTCTCTTGAGGAGAGCGTATTATAGGTTTTTTTTTTTGTAATAAGAACATACATGAAAATATACAAGAGACACCCAATCTTCCATAAACCAATCTGCATACTCATCATTTCCAGTTACCATTAGCATTTGAGGTGAAGTTCTGTTATACACTCAGGCTGTGGCTCTGTGAAAGTCAGTGCATCACAGAACTTTGTCTCGAAAGCTTTCTAGCAGCTACCCATTTGGGGAGTGGGAGGGAAGAATAGACCTTTTAAATCCTTTGAACAGGGCCCTAAACTTGTAGGGTTTTTCTCAGTAATCATCATTTAATATGTTACAAGGTCAAGCCTAATCCATTGTCCAGGAAGCCCATTTCTCAATAGCTGGGAGTTATTTATAAACTTGCCCTTTGCAAAAACTTAAAATGAAATTACATTATCAGTAATGGCTTCCAGGGCCTTTAAACTGGCTGATTTTATGGCCTGAAAGGAAGGCCTGGCCCTCCCCACTCCTCAGAGGTAAGGGACCCAGGCTGAGGTGGAACCAGCTGCAGTCAGGAGGTGGCAGGAGAAGTAAAGGAGAAGCTGCTGGCTCCAGCTCTGCCAGAGTGGAGTATTCAAGCAGTATTTACACTCTTGCCTAAATTCTCTGCTTTATTTAGTGTGGTCCTTCCTTTGGAAGTTTGAAATGACCAGCCTTTTCTAGAGTGCCTTCTTACCCCTTTCAGTGCTGTAAAAAACCTAATTTGATCTTTCTCCTTGTCTGCCTTTGCCAGTCTTTTATTCCTAAGAAGAACCAATGTTTCTTGGGGTTTCTTTGACAGTGTCTTCCAGGAAGCCTGTGAAAAGAGCCAGGAGCAGAAATCTGTTTCTCTCTTTGCCAGCGTGCTGTCTTAGGCGCTCACACACTGTTGGTCATAATGAACATTGTCTGATTCTCCCAATCGTCTGGTCAAAGAATGTTTTTCGTTTCTAGCTTCCCATTTCTTCTAGGGATGCTAGACTCTCTTGGTACAAGAACCAGTTACCTATGCCAGATCAGTGCCCACTTTAAATCATTGGGCAGCTCTCTGAGGTGCTGTGAATGTGGGTAGAGGTATACCACCACCCACTGGCATTGAATTGATTCCAACTCATAGTAACCCTATAGGACAGAGTAGAACTGCCCAGAAGGTTTCCAAGGCTGTAAATCTTTGTGGAAGCAGACTGCCTTATCTTTCTCCTGTGGAGCGGCTGGTGGGTTCGAACTGCTAACCTTTTGATTAGCAGCCCAGTGCTTTAGCCACAGTGCCACCAGAGCTCTTTGGATAGAGGTAGCAAGCCAAAGAATTCCAAGGTAGAAAGTATTTCTTTCCCTGTGTACTGCTTGGGAGCTCTGGTGGCGTAGTGCCTACAGCATTTGTCTGCTAACCAGAAGGCTGGCAGTTCAAACCCACTAGCCAGTCCTTGGAAGGAAGATTGGGCAATCTACTTCTATAGTGATACAGCCTTGGAAACCAAGGAGGGGTTGCTATGAGTCAGATCCGACTCCACAGCAGTGGGTTTGGTTTTTGATTTTTGATGGACTGCCTTTCTTCTATTAAAGAAACGTAATCTCATTGGTGTTCTCTTTTTGATTAATTGAAGACCCAGGTTGCTATGGAACTAAGCCTGCTTTATGGGAAGGTTTTTCTGTGGGGACTTAGGAGGACTGCTTCTATTTGTGACCTTTTAGACTCTAGAAGACTTCCCTCTGCTAATCACAGAATTTTTTAGTTTGAGATAGGAATCCCTCATGCCTTGTTTATTCCAGAGAGTAATGTTTATAGAGTGGGCATCTCTAAGGAGTATTTATCAGAGATGAGACAAGGTTGGTTGTAATATCACCCAAAATGGCCACACCAGAAAATCCCATCTATACATGGAAGTCTACTTTTAAGTAAGTTCCCTAGATGCTTGCTGCATCAAGAAGTTTTTATTTTATTCTCAAACTTTATTTTTGATTTAACAAATATTGGGAATGTAGTATTTGTAAAACATTGTTCTAGATACTTGGGATAAACCAGTAAACAAAACGCAAACATTGCTGCCCTCATATTCAAATGGGGAAACTTATATTCTTCATAACCTTGTCAAAATAGTGGGTTCCCTTCATTCCCATTCTTAACTTCCTCTGAGCTAGGGCTGATTCTTTACATAAGACGGTAAACCTGGAGCCCCAAGGGAGAATTTACCTTTTCAAAGGCTACAGTTTCTTTCTTCCTCACCCTTGAGTCTTTGTTGAGATGTGCTTGGAGAATGTGTTTGGCCCCTGTGAGGACTGTGGGTTTCCTAAGTAAGCCTAGGAAAGAGAGGTAGCAGAACAACAGTTTTGTCTCATAGCACAGGAATATCAATGGTGAATAAGGTTGATTAGAAGGAATGTGGAGCTGGGCACTCCTTCCATACACACACTACTACCTCCTCTCCTTTCCCTTCTTTCCTCTCCTAGGTAGCTGGTTCCCTAGAAGTTAGGGAAGAGAGCATCAGACCACCACAGCTTTTGCAAAATGATATACTTGCAGTCGAAGAAGGAAATTGGAAATTGTTTGAATGTAACTAGTAAGGCGGAGGCTACATTTCCTTCAGGAGAGACAGGGACCTCAGAGTATGATTCTTGGTAGTAAAAGAAAATTCTCCTCATGCTTTCTATCTCCAGGCCCCAAAGTGTTTCTCAGTAGATTGTCTTCTCACTGCTGCTTAATTTTGCCAACATTCAGTGTGGTGTTTGTCCCAGGAAGTTAAATGGTTGGGGATGTAGTAGAGGAATCGGGATTATAGGAGAGGCATTGGAAGACGAATGTCTCACTGGACTGCATTCAGAACTGTAGTGTGTATGTGTGTGCCCATGCACATTTCCCTCTCCTTAGTGTATGGATGGCTTAGGGAAGGCTTGCTTTATGCCTCTGCATTGCTGCTGCATTGGGACTGCAGAAACTTCCAAGTACACTAGGGCATTCAACCCTGTTTTCAGTTGGCCTTGTGCAGTGCCTATTAATTAATCTGGTCACATCCCTTACCCACATGGGAGCCCAGGGAGGGAGGGTAGTTTGGAAAATAACTGTTGTTATTTGGAAATGACAGGGTGACCCACCTTGATTAAGCCCTCTATGACTCTGGCTCAGATAAACTATTTCTCTGATGCTGCTTTGGTGACTTTTGTTCAGATGCCCTCTTCCTCGATTCAGTACACTTACCACTTGGTCATTCTCAGTGAGAAATGTCTAAATCTAACCTGGTTGTATCCCCTTGTAATTCACTGGGACCAAGGGGATAGTATTTGGTTTTCCAATGGTGGTGAGAGCTTTCAGGACTGAAAGTATGTTCATATCTCTTCAGGAACCTTCCCTGTATACTGTCAAAGCCATCCTGATTCTGGACAATGATGGAGATCGACTTTTTGCCAAGGTGAGATTCCCTTTCAATTTAGGTTAGGAGCAGGACAAAGATTTACCCCACGATTTGAATCTTGAAAATAACCCTATTAATTCATACTCCTTGATACCAAAATTTTGGAAATTCTTCCTTCTTACCTTGACTGCTTCAGATACATTCTGAGCTGCTTCTGTCCCTTTGTTCCCCTGCTTCCCTACTTGTTGTCTTTAGACCTTGGCCTCCTTTGTTATTTGTGTGAAAACAGGGAAAAGCTTCAGAATCTTGGTTCCTGAACAAAACAATGTCTAGACGTGAGAAGCAGCCTTCTTATGCCCATCACTTGCTATTGCCTTCCGTCCTACCTTATCACACTGTCTGGGTTTTTCCTAGAAAATTCTTCTGAGTCCTAGGTTCCAGCCCTGGATTTGTAGTCACCATCAGGCTTGTTATCTCTTGACTTCCCCAGTGTGATGTTTCTAACTTTGAGTCTATTGTAAAAGAGGGAGAAAGGACACTCCTCTTTTCTCCTTCTGAATTCTCCCCGTCCTGTAGAAATTTCTTCTGTCCCTGGTGTATTAACTCCGGGCGAGCATAGCATAAATCAATCAGCAGGTAGAGATTAGTTTAGAATTCACCAGCTGTTCCTCCCTGTAATTGGATGTAACTATGCAGGACACCTTTTGAAACAGTTATCCAGTTACTAAATGCCAGACCTGTCATAGGTCTTCAGCTGACGCGACGGATTAGCCCCTAAAGAGCAGAGCGATTTAGCAGCCTGCATCCCTCCCTCTTGCCAGGGAGAGCTTGGGAGTGGGTTCAGCAATGTACTAGGTTGCCTCCTGCTTCTTTTCATTTGCAGAAATGAAAGGTAAGATATGAGAACACAGGGCAGGGTGTTGCATCCTTTCCCTGTTCCTCAGTTTCATCTAGTAAGTAAGCATCTGAAAGAAGCCTTCTGCACTCCTGGTGCCTTTTGTGTTCACTGGCACTGCTCCCTGATGTAGGGTAGCTCCTAGGAAGCACTTGTTGAGAATGGCCTCAGGAGAGTTCTCCTAGGATGCAGATGAGAGCAAGGCCTCTCTTGTAGAGCACATAGCTCTCTTGCCCTTACACAGTCTTAGGAATGTTAAGTGAGGGACCTTTGAACTTTTTATTTATTTATTTAGGTATTGGATTATACTCACTGTGCATTCCCTGCCTCTATAAGCCTTTTTTCCCTCATGTTAATATTTATCCTTTGCCACATGCCGTGAAGGAGAGAAATCCAAGATCCCAGGACAAAACACTATCACTACTCATTCTGGGCTCCCAGCTGTAATGACCCAACTCCATCTCCTTTCCCTCTACCAGTACTATGATGATACCTACCCAAGTGTCAAGGAGCAAAAAGCCTTTGAGAAGAACATTTTCAACAAGACTCATCGAACTGACAGTAGGTCATTTTCCTTTCACTACTCCCTGTGTTGGGGGAACCGTGGTGGTAAGGGGGTGGCGACAAGACTACAAAGAAAGGATAAAATGACTCTGCCTCCTTTTTTTCTTTTTTTCCTCCTCCCTTCATATAATAAACTCTTCAGAAATGGAATGGGGAGGTGAGTGTACCTCACGCGGGAATACCGTGCTGGAAGGTTGGCTGTTAGCTACCTGTCTAGTCCCTGGATTTATGAGCCTCACTTGACAAATTTAACTGCAGCTCTGCTTATTGTACCGCATCCATTAGGGCAGGTAAATGGAAGTCTGTAAAGGTGACCGCTCTGCATTTTCACCTCCGAAAGATCGACTAGTATCCTGTCTCATACATAAGGAGGGAAATAAGGGGTAGTGGGGGGAGTAGAGGAGAAGATACACTTAGACTCCCCCAAGTTTATATTTCTCTTTTGCTCCCTCCAGAAAACAAAATGCAAGTCAACTTCGGACTTTGGGACTCATTATGACCTGTCTTACCTCAGCCCAAAACAGCTGGAGCTCATGATAAGTCCTTCTGTCCTACCTCCTTATCTCAGGCCACCCACTGTTTCCAACTTTCTCCCCAGGTGAAATTGCCCTCTTGGAAGGCCTAACAGTGGTATACAAAAGCAGTATTGATCTCTATTTCTATGTGATTGGCAGCTCTTATGAAAATGAGGTAAGCGTTCCCACTCTCTCTGATTCCATTTCCTAAAGCACAAGCAGTGCGCCCTGGAATGCCTTGTCCCTCTGACTTCTGATTTATGTGAGGAAGTTGTCAGAGATCCCTGCCAGCTTCACAAATAGGGCCCAGTAAATAAACCAGCCTAGGAAGGAAGTTTTCCAAGATCTATCTTTTATTTCTATATAGGAGATACTATGTATGTTTTAATGCATAACATAAATATCCATGGCCCTCCCTGGTTAGTTTTTTTCTTTTTTTTAATTTTTATTGTGGTTTGGGTGAGAGTTTACAGAGCAAATTCACTTTCCATACAGTAGCTCACATATACTTTGTCTCATGACATTGACTACAATTTACCCCAGTGCAACAGCTCCCCCCCACTTCCTCCCCATAGTTACCTCTTCCCTGTGTCCTTCCCTCCCATGCACTCCTGTCCCTGAGCTGTCTCCCTGTGCATACACAACCTTTCTCTTCTCCCATGATTGATCTCTCCAAGGAGTGTATCTACCTATTGTAAATGTTGAGCTCATAGGCCTGTCTTTTGTTTGGCTAGAAGCCACAGGAGTGGGTTCAATTCCAGACCTGAAGGCCAGTTAGGGGCCATAGTCTCAGTGATTCCATCAGGCTCTATCAGACCAGCAAACCTGGTGCTTTTTTCTTTTTTAAATGATTTTGAGTTATATTCTACATTGTTCTCCCACTCTATCCAGGATCTCCTACTGAGATCCCCCTCTGAGTGGTTGAAAGTGGTAGCCAGGCACCATCTAGTTCTTCTGTTCTCATAGTCATATAGGCTGAGGGTCACGTGGCATACCGGTTGCTTGGACTAACTGTTTCCATGTGTCTTTGATTTTCTTCATTCTTCCTTGCTTTGGACAAGGAGAGACCCATCATTACATCTAGATGGCTGCTTGCAAACTTTTAAGGTCCTAGTTGCTACTCGCCAAAGTAGGATGTGAAACAAAGTTTTTGTGTAATATGTTATGGCAACTGAGCTTGATGTCCCTTGCAGCTGTGGTTCCGAGCACACAGGTCCAACTACTCATTCCCTCGGGGTAGCTGGCTGTGGCCAAGTGGCTACAATTTGCCTCTTGTCAGCTCTACTATATACCTGGGAATTTTTATAGAACATACAAATATACTTGAAGAAACATTGTGTGCCAACCCTATACATGGTCATGGGCACACACCCCCCTGCATAGACATACCTAATAGTTCAGCCTGTCCACCATCTATCCACCCATATTTCCATGTTTGCCTTCACTGACAACACAGTACTGTATGTGTAAAAAGGTTCATCTTTGTTGTCTGTACCTCCCATGCACCTCTCTATGTCTTCCTCTTCCTCAGTCCCACCATGTTGATCACTCACATTTGGTATATTGCCCTTTTCTTCACCCAAATCAATACTTGTCTCTGCCTATCTAACAGTGTTCCTTCCCCTTCCACCCCTGGTAACCAACAAAGAAAATTTCCTTCCATATATAAACCTTTCCTTGACTTTTTACAATAATGGACTAATACAATAGTTGTCCTTCTGTGATTGACTTATTTTACTCAGCATAATGTCCTCCAAGTTCATCCACATTATGCAGTGTTTTGCCGATTCTACATTACTCTTTAGGGTTGCATAGTATTCCGTTGGGTGTATTGTATGTACCATAGGAGCTCTGGTGGCATAGTGCCTAAGGCACTTGACTGCTAACCAGAAGGCTGGTGGTTCAAACCCACCAGCCCTCCTCAGAAGGAAGATTGGGCAATCTACTTCCATAGAGATACTGCCTTGGAAACCCAAGGAGGGGTTGCTTTGAGTTGGATACGACTCGGCGGCAGTGAGTTTGGTTTGGTTTTGGTATGTACCATAGATTAGTTACTGGATAGTATTTTTTAAGTTGGATTTCTGAGGTGTGGTCAAGGCTGGGGAGATGTGCCTGTTCTTGCTACGAAGGGTCCACACCTGATCAAGCTTGAGCCAGTTAACCAATACTGGGTTATGTTGAAGCCATACATTTTGAATGGATAGACTTGGGAAGGCTGTAGAGGTAGTCCTTACCTACTTCCTATATGCAGCAAAAGCTATTTACTACTTCAGGTAGCAACTTCTGGGAGATTAGGTAAGTGATAATAAGATAATTTGAAGCAAAAGTAAAAGTTGGAAGGAATCAACTTTTCCTGAGCTCTTTTTATTGCTAGAACATTGTAAGTACATTTTACTTAAACCTCACAACACTTCTGTGAGTTATGTCATTGGTATCATTGTTTTACAGGTGAGAAAACTGAACCAAGAGGAACCATATCAAATTACTTGTATTTGACCATAGTTGAACTATAAAAGTAGTGATTTTGCTTAATTTTTTTTTAAATTGTGATTTGGGTGAAGATTTACAGAGCAAATTAACTTTCCATACAGCAGTTCACTTACACTTTGTCTCATGACATTGACCACAGTTTACCACAATGCAACAGTTCCCCACCCACTTCCTCCCCATAGTTACCTCTTCCCATTGTCTATCCCTCCATGCACTCCTGCCCCCTGAGCTGTCTCCCTGTGCATAAGCAGCCCTTCTTTCTCCCATGATTGTTCTCTCCAAGGAGTGTATCTACCTGAGGTAAATGTTCAACTCTTATGCCTGTCTTTTGTTTGGCTGGAAACCACAGGTGTGGGTTCAATTCCAGACCTGAAAGACAGCTAGGGGCCACAGTCTCAGTGGTTCCATCAGGCAAACCAGCAAACCTGCCCCCTTTTTTTTTTCCTCCAAATGATTTTGAGTTTGGCTCCACATTGTTTGCCCTCTCTATCAAGGATCTCCTACATAAATCCCCTTCCAAGTGGATGACAGTGGTAGCCAGGCACCATCTAGTTCTTCTGATCTCATAGTCGTATAGGCTACAGATCAGATGGTGTACCAGTCGCTAGGACTAATTGTTCACATGAATTTTGGTGTTCTTCATTCTTCTTCGCTCTGGATGAGGAGAGACCCATCATGGCATCTAGATGGCAGCTTGCTAGCTTTTAAGATCCCAGTCACTACTCGCCAAAGTAGGAGGTGAAACAATGTTTTGTATAGTATGTTATGCCAGTTGAGCTTGATGTCCCCAGCGTCTATGGTCCCAAGCCCACAGGTTCCACTACTCAGTCCCTCTGGGTAGCTGGCTGTGACCAGGCAGTGACCATAACCTTGCCCCTTGTTAGCTCTACTATTGTTGTTGTTGTTGTTGTTATGTGCCGTCGAGTCGACCCCCGACTCATAGCGACCCCTCCTTGGGTTTCCGAGGCAGTATCACTACGGAAGTAGGATTGCCCAACCTTCCTTCCGAGTAGCTCTACTATACACCTGGGAATTCTGATCATTCACATAAACTTATAGGACCACTGTCTGCCAACCTTATACATGTTCTTGGATACATTCCCCATTTCATAGACATAGCTAATAGTTCAGCCTGTCCACCCATCTATCCACCCATATACCATGTTTGCCTTCACTGACAACACAGTACTGTATGTGCAAAAAGGTTCATCTTTATTGTCTGTACCTCCCGTGTACCTCTCTATGTCTTTCTCATTCTAAATGCCACCATATTGATCACTCACATTGTTACATTGCCCTTCTCTTCACTGAAATCAATACTTATCTCTATCTATCTAACAGCGTTCCCTCGCCTCCCCTCCCACCCCTGGTAACCAACAAAGAAAATTTCCTTCTAGATAAACCTTTCCTTAACTTTTACAATAACGGACTAATACAATATTTGTCCTTTTGTGATTGACTTACTTCACTCAGTATAATGTCCTCCAAGTTCATCTACGTTTTGCAATGTTTTACAGATTCTACATTATTCTTTAGCGTTGCATAGTATTCCATTGTGTGTATGTACCATAGTTTGGTTATCCATTCCTCAGTTGAAAAGTAGTGATTTCATGTGGTTCAACCTAATAACTTTCCCAGGGTCATATATTTAGAAAATGCCTCACCTGGGACTCGAACTCAGATCTGTCTGACTCCAGATCCCATGCTTTTTCCACTCTGCTGCCTTCCTCTAACCTTAGACATTGCTGGGTTAATGATTTCTCTACCTAAGACATTAGGGAACACACATATAGTTTGTAAAGACATGTAGAGAGAACTATGTCATGAAAAAGTTCTGTTTGAACATTCTGGTGACAAGAGACCTCACATTTTGATGTTGTGAAGCAGAATTAATTTCTGTGAGAAACCACAGATCCTGTCTTGCTCTCAGTTTACCTTGTGCTTTTGGTTCTCTCTGAAAGCTATGTCTTTTGATGCTTAATGAATTAAAGGGTTTTGCTTTCAGGTACTTTCTTTCAGGGCCTTGAACCTTATCCTTCTATGTCTCCCAACAGTTGATGCTCATGGCTGTTCTGAACTGCCTGTTTGACTCATTGAGCCAGATGCTGAGGTGAGCAGGCCATTCTTGATGTCGGATTGGGAGACAAAGTAACAGGACCTGGGGATTTATGAGGATCAGCAGAAGCTTCAGGGAGTTGATTTAGTTTAAGAAGTTGGGCTTCTTACCTCAGAATTACTCATGCTGAAAGGAGACTAGATGGAAAGCATATCCTTCCTATGGAGTAATTCTCCTACTAAGGAAGGTGATTAGGAGGGAGTAGAATCCTCACCTTTGTGTCTACTCTTGCATTTCCTAGTGGCACTGTCAGAGTTCTGAGAAGAACCATCAAGGTGTTTTTCTTGGGCTTCATTCTTTACATTAGAGGTAGGGAAGAGGCTATTATAGGGAAATATCCCAGATGAAACATTAGTCCCTGGAAATGGAGGTAACATTTCCAGCTTTTCACTTCTAGCCCTTAATTTTTCCCTTGTGTGGAACAGGACCCTCTCCTCCCCTTCTACGTCCCACTGGTCCTCTCGTCCTTACGTCCATGGGTAATAGAAGGGATAAAAGATACTTTTCTTGAGAACATCCATGGCTCTGAACTTCATTTCCCTAGCAGCTCCCAAGTGAACCCAGTACAGACAGCCATCCAGAGCAGAGCAGCAGGCGCTCTCAGCCCTGCAAAATCAGCAGGGTGAATGGCTCAGATTTCCTCAGGAAGGGAATGATTTATTTCTTAGCCAGGTGAATGACTAGACTTCGTTTCGGGTGATCTAGTGAACGAGTCATACTGACAAATGTGACTGGTCACATGCACCCACCATCAGATCTGAGGCTGGTGGATGAGGGTCCTGACTGTTCTTGGCCCCCTGGTTGGGCTGCTTTTCAGGGCCTGAGGAGAACTAGTGAGGGAGGGGGATGAGGTGGAATGGAGAGAGACTTAGGAGGTTTGTCACTGCTTGATGCAAAGTTTGCCCTTAAGCCCTCCCCTATCTCTCACTTCTAGATTGTGTTTAAGCTTCTTGTATTTTTCCTTTTTTCTACCTACTGATGTCAGTGTTTATGAGCAGTGTCAAGCATAGCATCATGACAGGTAGGAATGAAATAATAGATCTGGGTAATCAGTACCCGAATTGTAAGAAATTGGCTGTATTTTAAGAATCTATTCCTGATCCTTACTCAGGAAATAAGAGTAGGAACGGGTTTAGCATGGATTTGAGGGAAAGTTCTTCACCTTATTTATTTATTCTTTTGTCTGTGTGGTTGATAGATTTCTTGGTCTAGTTTGGATCCCAACTCAGATAATGTCCTAGGATTTCTTTTACATACTGGCTAGTTTTTCTCTTTTCTTTGGGGGGCGGTCAGGAAAAATGTAGAAAAGCGAGCTCTGCTGGAGAATATGGAAGGACTCTTCTTGGCTGTGGATGAAATCGTGGATGGAGGGTGAGTTCTCTGCCCTGAATGGACCTCCCTCGGTTGTGAGTTAAGGTGGTGGGGATAACTGCTCCTGTCCTAACTCAAGTGGGCTGAGTGGCCACAGGCCGTCTAGTAAGTTGATCTTCCAGGACAGAGTGAACAGTCTTCTCTTGTTTGTCTTTGTAGGGTGATCCTAGAGAGTGATCCTCAACAAGTGGTACATCGGGTGGCATTAAGGGTAAGTAGAAGTGTGTTCTCCTGAATCCCTCCGTCTACTTACAAAACAAACCCTTTGGGGCCAGATGTGCTGAATGATTTCCTACTTATAGTGCATCTGAGGGTCAGGGTCATAGATTACAGACTTCTTCTCAAAATTCTCATAATCCCAAAGAAGGGAAGCAAAAGGAACTTACTTCTGCCTCTAACATGGTGCCTAACATCTCATACAGTCTTTACACAAATTGGACACTTAATACACATTTATTGAATTAATTAATTCAATAAAAAAACTTTATGAAGGAACTTAAGGTGGGTTTATCCTTTGAGGGGATGAATCCCAATCATCTGAGGGAGATGATTGTCTTCCTCATCTTTTAAAATTTTATGTAATTGAGGATAGCACCTCTCATTAAGAGAGTACGTACTTGTCCAGAACCACAGTCCTTTTTGGTGCTAGTAATATCAGGAAGGGACCGCTGAGTTAGCCATAGAAGGCTCGGAGTCTGCTGAGATGATGGTGCTGCAGAGAAAGCTCACCAGAAACTGTGAGGGATATAGAGATGTCTGAGCAAAGCAAAACTCCCCATTCACAGAACGTCCCGGCTCTGACCTCCACAGAGTGAAGGCTGACAGTGCCGGGTAATGGGAAATCTTCTCCCTTAACTGCCGTGGGCTCCATTTGCATAGTTTAATCTTCTCCTCTAACATATGTCTATGTGGCAAGAGAGAGGGTCCCCCCCACCAACCCCCCTTCCTGTTCTCAGGCTGCTGTTGCAGCAGTTTATTTCTTCAAATTAACATGCTGTCGTTACCCATCAGGCCTTGCAGGATCCATTAAACTACCCCTGGCTCCCCCTCATCCTTTCCCTAACCGTATTGATATTCAGAGAAGGTCTTCTCTGGCTAAGAAATCAGGCCCTCGCCCCCAAGTTGAAGGAGTTGAAGATCAGATAACTTGCTGATTACTTGGAGTGGAATACATCTTTTAAGTTCTCCTGCCTTAAAACAGGGATGGATGAAATGACCCTTTTTTTGTTCACAGAGCCTCTCAGGCCAAGTGAAATTTTGACTGTATTACAGTGATCCCTTAACAGAAAGGACTCAGAAGTTTAGGGCCTCTACCCTTTGCTTCAGTTTAAAGGACTACCTCTTCCTTCTCTTCTGCCTAACTCCAGTCAGTCTTACTCCAGCTTTCTTCCATGGTGAATGCCTGTCTCTCTGTGTCATAGGGTGAAGATGTCCCCCTTACCGAGCAGACCGTGTCTCAGGTATGGCTTTCTCTCCTCTTCCTCTCCAGATGGAACGGGTCACTAAAGAGGCTAGAATAGCATTCCACCCCGACCCACCAAATCTGAATGCCGCTAGAGACTGAAGACTCATCTTCCTAGGCTCCTTCTTATTCCCGACAACTGAGACACATACCCCCACCCCTACCCTCAACTCCTATCCTAGTTTCCTGTGAGGAGTGGTTGTCAGCCTTGCTCTATACCCTTCAAACCCTCTCTGCCTGCTGCCTCTTTCCGTGATTTATTCCCCAGCAGAGGCTTGCCTTAAGCAGATGGTCTGTGTGCACACACACTCACATGCTCTCTCCTATTATTCAAATGAAGGCCAAGCTGGAAATGCATATTCCAGAATATGCAAGTTTTGCAAATCTATCTGCTACCTTGACTGAAGATAGATTGTCTACCTGAGTGGGGGTGGGGCAAAGGAAAGATTCTGTTTCCTACCCACTGGGAAATCTCTAAGATGCCCATCTGGATATGGTGGTACCTCTGTCCTCTTTAACATATGTCTGGTAACCCCCAGTTTTTTTTCTTTCCCCCCAGGTATACCTCTTCTCTCTTCATTCCCCCAGTGGATTTGAATTTTTTGGAATTTCCCAAACTGACAATCCTCTAGGGCCTTAGCGAGCTTCTTCCCATCCCTCTACCCTTGGGGATTTTCTGTTCCCCACCTTCTAAAGACGGGGAAGGCAAGTGAGAGGATGGAAATCTCCAATCCCCATTCCCACCCTGCCCCCCAAAACCAGCCTCATCTTACGCTGTCCTTGTCTCTGCAGGTGCTGCAGTCAGCCAAAGAACAGATCAAGTGGTCACTGCTTAGGTGAAGACCTCACTGTTCCTGGCTCCTCACCTCCCTCAAAACATCGCATGTCTACTGTGATTTCTCACCCAGTCCCCCAACTGATGCTCTCAGGGTCATCTTGGGGATCACAAGGAATCCTTAAATCTCCATCCTATCTGTGGTTGTGGTCTCCCCCCCCCCCCACCCCCCACTCCCCACCCAACGTTTCCTGTTTCACTCTTCTTAGAGTTCTGGGAGTAAAGGTCCCATCAGATACAGGACATGGGAAACAACATCTTCCTTTCGAGACTGGGTTATGCTCCCATGCTCTCCTATCTCCCATATTTTCTCCTCAACTTTTATGCCCTTTGCTGCAGCTATGCTTCAGATCAAAGTAGGAGAAAGAATGTGCTGAGTGTTTTCCTCCCTTTGCCTTTACCAGGCCTTCATCCCAACAGCCATATGTCTAGCAAGGGGAGGGAGATAGAAAATTCTTTTCTGTAGAACCAGCGGGGGCTGGGGAGAGGTCCATCCAGTCTTAGCCCCAGTCCCAGCCCCAGCCTCAGCCCCACTTACTGGCCTCGGCATTTTCTCCCATTCCGGCATTTTCTCCCATTCCGTCGTCCTACTGCCCTGTCCTCCAGCCTTGAAAAGGAGATTGAGAACAGCTCACAGGGAGGGGACAGAGTAGAAGAAACAGTGATTTAAATTTTATTGGATAGAGCTTGTAAAATTCTATATTTCAGTTACAGCTGCATTCTCTACCCTGTCCTGGCTTATAACTTCTAAACTGCTGTCTGTGAATGTTCATTGTGGGAGTGTCCATCTCTTGGTCCACTACCTTAACTGTCCACCTTTGCTACCCATGGGATCTTTTCCTGGCTTATCCTCTTTGTGCCCTGGAGCAAAGCTAGTCCTGGAACTATAACTCCATTCAGTCTTGGGAAGAAGAGTTTCTGCTCAGAACTGGGGAGGGGTTGGGATTTATGCTTTAGGCCTCTGGGCTCTCTCTGTCCCCTAGGCTCCCCCACACACATGACACTCCTGCCTTGGGTCTGCAGTCTCTGCTGCTTAACCCTATCCTCTCTCTGCCTGTGCTTCCATCTCACATCTAATTAGTAGGTCTGGGCACTTCTGCTTGGGTTGTTGAGAGCGCCTTTGGCATTTGGATTTCCCTGGGAAGATGGAGAATAGAACACACACTCTTGCGTTTGATTTTTCCCATTGTCTCAAAACTTTCTCCCTACAAAAATATCTTTAAAAACCTTCTTGAGAGTTACAGGTTCTCTCTTACTCAGTAACTGCCAATTCTCCAAGACTGAAGTGAGTAGATACCTGGGCATATTTGAGGGGGCATCTTTGTGTAAGAGATGTGTAGAGTCAGGAGATAGCCACCTTCATATTACTACTCTTGTGTAAAGAATAAAACAGGTTTCTTTTTCCAAACTGCCTTTGTGTGATATTTCTGTTCCTCTCTTTTTGGCAGCTACTCCCATTCCTCCAGCCCCCCTTCACTCCCCATCTTATAATATTTCTTCCCTTCTACCTCAGAGACTCCCTCAGCATCCTCCCCCCCATCCCTAATTTACGGGACTGTTTGCCTCCTTCGCATCTCTCAGTCCCCTCGCCTGGAAATTGGCGCCAGGGGTGGGGTGGGGATGGTATTTTCTCAGTGGGAGTCCCAGGGAACTGAGTTCTCCCCCCACCACCCCCAAAGCCAGCTGCCTGCTCCCGCCTCAGCCATTAGTAACCCTGAGATGCGCACCTGCGTGGGGGCTCTCCTCCAGCCCGGGCTCCCTTCCTATGCCTCCCACTCCTGCTCTGAAGCGGCGCTGAGCGGGTTATTTATCTGAGCCAGCACTGCTCCAGAAGGTCAGGACGGTGGTGTAAATAACCTCTTCTCGCCATTTCCCCGTCCCTCCAGAGCCTGCTCCCCTCCCCCTCCTCCACCTTTATTCGCACAAATGAATGTGGCTGGGCTGGCGCAGAGCCTGGCCCTGCATCTTAATGGGGCGGTGAGCTCACAAGATGGATTTAGCTAGGGGTTTTATGGTTGCCGCGGCGACAGGAGAATGCTTTGGTTTTCTTACCCCCTTCCTCTGCAGGATTTTAAGGAGGAGGGAGTGTGGGGAGCCCTCCTCTCCAATGCAATTTGAAAGGTCTCCTTCTCAGTCACCTCTACCGTTCATAAGATGGTCCTGCAATTCCAGGATTAAGCAAGAGATCGAATTTGGACCTAAGGGAAGGAGTATGGAAGGAATGTAATGGTTGTGAGGGAGCGTCTCCGGGATCAGGACAGAAAACAGTCCAGTCTTGCCTGTCTTTCCTGTGAGAACCTGACAAACTCAACCTGTGCCTGGGATCCCCTTCAGCAGATTTAAAATAAAAGCTTGCTTGTGCCACCGTACAGTTGTACATTTAAAGTTGGAGTACAGAGGGCTTGGGTACCTTTGCCTTTGGTTGAATTGGGGAGAAGCACCCAGCTTTACCATTCTAATCTTGCTACTTATCTCCCTGCATTCATCAGTAATGGTGCCTGAGTGGAGTTCTATTTAATCCCCAAACTCAGAATTCTCTGAGTTTCAGTTTCCCCAGCCTGGCCTTGTTTGAACTTCCCTTGTGTTCTCTGTTTCCTACTAGGAATGGAACAACCTCTGGTGTCTTGGCCTACCCAATCCTAGCCTGCAGTTTTCTTTCAGGCTATGAGTAAACCCATCCCCAGCACTGACTGAAGCAGACATTGTAAGCAGGGTCTGATTATCTACCTCCCTCGGCCAGTTTCTGCTGGATTCTGAGCCTCTGTCTTTATTCTGTTGTGAGCCTTTCTCTCTTCCCCAGGGGACCCTGGGAAGCCCCTCCTCCCCTCTCCCCCCTTTCCTCCCCTCTGGCTGGGAAAGTGACTGTAGCCTGAACAGTGCCAGACACCTGCCTGCCAGATGTGGCGATTCCCCATTCTGCCCCCACTCCCAATGTCTATCCTTTCCTCACCCCACTGAGCTCAGGCAGAGGTAGCTCCCCCCACACACACATACACAGTGATTTAGTGCAACAGTCTCTCTGTCTCAAGTGCCTCCCTCTAGTTCTCTCCCTCTCCCTGGTGCCCATGTTCCCTCTTTTTTCACCATGTCCTGCAGCCACCTTCCTGGTGCTGTCTCCTCTCATTCCCACTCTTGGTATGCTGGACTGTGTAAGCCTCAGCTCCTGGACTAGGGAATGAATGGGTGGGGCAGGGGTGCTTGGTCTCTGTTTCACTCATGGGAGAGTACATCTGCATGGTTGAGGACAGTGGCAGTCAGCACTAATGTCATTCTAACTGGAGGAGAGGGGATGGTATGGAATTGGGGGTGGGGGATGAGGAAGGGACCAGCACTCCAAGACTGCAGAGAGGAAGAGGTCTCTGAGACCTTTCAAGATGGAGCAGAGAGGCTAGAAATATGGCTGTATGGCATTGCATCTGTGTTTCTGTGGCTGAGTTTCCAGACTTTGGATCTGTCTCAAAGCTCCTCTCCTCAGACTGACCCAAAACATGTACTTAAAGGGAACCCTAAGTCCTTACCTTTTTCTCTTTAGTGTTCATCCTTATCTGTCTTCTCTGCCTTCCCCGTTCCATACCATATCATAACTCAATATGATCCCAGACCTCCTATCAAAGCAGGGACTCACTGAGTGCCTCTTTGCTCCTTCCCATCTTCCCTTGCTACCTGATGCCCAGTGGTCCCCCCTGGGCCAGGGCAGAGGGCTCTGGAGTGGGAGTGAACAGGAAGAATAGCTGAACCATTCTATGGGAGTAGCAGAGACAGGACAGATGGAGAGTCCAAGAAAGTGGGAGACGGAGGAGGAGGGACAGGAAGGTGGAAAGAGAAACAAAAGAAGAAAGAAAAAAGTGACTGAGAGACAAAAAGGCAGAGACTGAGAGCAGAAATTGAGAATGACAGACTGGGCGAGTGAGAAAAATTGACACAAAGAATAAGGTTGGCAGCAGAGAAAAGAAGGGGAGAGGGAGACAGGAAAGTCACAGCAAAGGAAGGTTGCTGGGGAGCAGCCAGGCAAGAGACAGGCTGGCTTTCCAGGACTCTCACTGGTACTGATGGGCCATAAATCATATGTGTGTGCGTGTGCGTGTGCATGTACATGCTCAGGGACACACGTGTAGGGGTCTATGGTGGGATTAGGGATGACTCCCATAACATGTACATTCTCCATTTCTGTCAGCAATCTTCTACCTTGAAGCACCCCACACCAACTTCCCATCTCCCAGCATTCCTGATGCTCCAGGGGCCATTCCCAAGGTGTTCCCACATCTTCTCAGGAATCCTGGCTTTCTGGTTTAGAATGCTGCTGCTCTGCTGGAATGTGCAGCCAGGATCCCTGCAATCAAGAGGCCCATTCCCTCACTGTCCACCCCCAATGCCTGCCCACCAGCTGCTCCTGTCCATCTCCTCCCACTCTCCTTGTATCTCTCCCTCCTCCACATTGACCCCTTCTGCAGCCTCTGACCCCCAGCCTGCCTGGGGCCTGGGTCTGGAAAGGGAGACAAAGACAGGATTTATAGCTGGTATAGAGAAGCAGCCAGAGCCCAGAGCTGAGGGCAATGGCTGACCTCTTGCTGGAATGAGCTCTGGGCCGGATGCTGGGAGTCTGGAAGCCTAGGTTCCTGCAACTCCTGCTCACAGCCTCAACTTTTCCCATTCCAACCTTGTTCTTTCCCTTGTCCCTGAAGATCTAGGAAACAGAAAAGAGGATGGTCCTGAGGTGATTCTAGGCCCCTGAAGGGAAGCCTGGGAGGAGGGGAGAGATGAGATTGATGTCTTAGGGTCATTGTTTTATGGATACTGAGGACTCAGGAACCAGGGGGCACTCAGACACCAATTGTTTCCAGGGCTAGGAAGATCAGGTCTAGCACTGCAATAGATGAGCTGGAGAGGGACTTCCCTCTAATGTAGGGAAGGACTTCACCAAAACAGGCTTTGATGGCAATAGGGAAGAAGATAAGGGTGATTATGGATCCTGAAAGATGAGAGACAGTCTCATCTGGAAGCAAAGGAAGAAATGGAACTCCCCCAGGGTTACTAAGTCCAGTCCCAATAAGAAAGTCTTCCTCCTCGAGTACCCCAATTCCCTCCTCAGAAGTGAGGGAGCAGCCAGGTCCTGCCTTTACAGTAAATAGACTATTGACCTGAAACTGTCTCTCCTCAGCAGCCAGGGTGTGTGCTCAAGGAGAGAGAACAGTATGATCTAGGAGTTTCCAAGAAATCAGGCCATGAATCTGTCAGTGGACAGCTCCTTCAGCTTCTCTAGCTGCCCTTGGAAGCCCACCAGCCCCTCCAGAATCCCAGTGTGTCAGAGGCTACCAGTAACCCAATCCCCAAGGCTCCTCCTAGCCCCTGGCATCCAACATCCTGCTTCA